CCCCCCCTCCCCCGCTCTCGGGGACGGCCCTCCACACCATCCCAGCGACGGACTACTGTAGGGGAAACGGCTTCCTGCTCAAACTGGAAGGGACACACCCCGGGGGAGGAGCATGGCGGAGATGGGGGGCAGTTATTTCCAAAGCTAATTACACAACAATTAAAACGGACTCATCTCTGGCCTCATGGCCAGATCTCTGGCCACACCACATTCTTGTACCGTTAAACATCTGATGTTCACCTGGAAGGACGTCGGACGGCCTGCCTGAAAAGGAGGCGGGATGGAGGGAGGGGTGGGTGGAAGAGGTGAGGAAGAGGGAAATGAAGGGGGAGGGGGTTGGGAAGGAGGAGTAACTAGGGTGGAAAATAGAGAGAGGGAGGATTGCCAGGAGGCAAGACTAGAAGGGAGGAAGGTATAGAAGTGGCATAAGGTGAAGAGCAAAGAGTAAGGAACGAAAAGTTGGAAGTGGAGGGGAGATGGAAGGAATATGGCCGAAGAGAGAAGACGGTTGGAGGGAGCATGACTGGAGGGATGGAGGATTTAGAGAAATGCAAGTAATTCATGGCTTGTTTGATGCATCTTTTACTTGGTGGTGTTAATACTAATCACAACTATTAATAATGACTATGTAGTTAGCACAAGTCTGGTCCATAGGAGAAACCTGATATACAATAGTATTTTAAATTGATGTGATGACTTCTCTACACACCGAGTATGCTCATTCACTGGTTCATCCATTTGTCACACTGTGCTGGTGATGCTGGGGACACGGTGGTGACTGAGACAGCCCAAGCCCCAACCTCAGAGGGTTAACCATCCAGTGGGGAGACAGACCTGTCCTCCAACAGTGATGACCCAGAGTGGGCAGGGCTGGGATGGGGAGCCCAGGAGGGTGGGGCAGCCGAGGGTGAGCTGAGACTGTAGACGGAGGGAACATGTCTCCACCTTTGGCCCCTGCCCTCCAGTTCCCCAGCTCCTCACTGTCAGCCTGACTCTTGGCCCCACAGCTGAGGGCGAGCAAGGGGAGCACGCACCTGGACAAGTTCTCTTTACACCTTGGTCACGCTCAGACTTACACGTCTTAGTTGAAGACTTTGCTGAGCCCTGTAAAAACGACAGTGCCTAGCAGCCAATTTAGGCTAGTACCTGAAGCTTACTCTTCCTTCCTTCCCAGTTTATATCAGCTAGTCCACCTGCTGGTGGGTTCCGGAGCTGCAGCTCTTTGATTCAAAAAAGCTCAATGAGCCTCAGTCAATGAGGAATTTCAAAATGAACCAGAGTGCCTCTGGGGTGTAATCTGGGCTAATACTCATGGGGAATGTGTCTTAGACTCCATCCTGAATGTCTCTCCCTCTAAAACTGATCTACGATCCAGGAGTGTAGACAACAGAGGGACAAATCCACCTCCAATGATAGACCCAGGCTAAGAAATGTACAGAAAGACTACTCAGGCCTGATCCTTGGCAATTACTTTGCTTCTGTCTTGGCCACTAGTTTTGTTAACTTCCTGAGGCCAGAAATTAGAGACATGATAAAAAATATGTTAACTGGTGAAATGCCTTGATTGCAGAATTCCGTGAAATAGCCCAACATCAGGGCAAATCAAATCAAATCCTCATAATGCAATTTAAGGTCCTACAACTTAAACAATTAGAGACAAAAAGTCCATCCTATCAGGGCTATTGGATACCACAAAACTTAATCTTGGTAGGGATACTGTAGGTACTGCAAAGAAAAGGGACATTGGACTAGAGATTGTCCAGCATTAAAATACAAAACGGAGTTCGAGCCTAAGGTTCAGTGTCCCCAATGACTCTTCCAGCAGATTTTGTCCTCTGTGTCCATAAACACCCTTCAACCCACAGAGGAAAATGACCATCTCCATTAATTGGCATGCTATCACAGCTTTAATAGATGCAGGGGCCACCTCCACCCCCAGCCCCATTAGTATTTCACAGTTCCCCCTTACCCTCCCTTGGTACACAGCAATGGTTGCTTGCGATGAGATGCCACAATTTGCCACATGCTTTACCCTTGCCTAAGCCATTCTCTGTCTCGTTAGGCACCTTACTACCCAGAACAATTTCTTTCTCAAACTACACCAATAAATCTTTTCAGAGGGGATATTCCATGTGGAATGTTAACATTTTATGTTTACGAGAGAGCCTAATTCTCACAATCCCTGACTGCTCCTATCCATCTTGGGCCACTAGCCTTTCTCAACTCCCTCCCCTGAAATAACTCATCAGCCTCTCCCTCAGGCATACAAAGTCAGCTATGCTGACCCGCATTCCTGATTTTCTTTGGGCCTCCAACTCAACAAACATAGGGTGCACCTTTGGGGCTGAACCTCTTAAAGTGAAAATAGATTCTGTCATACCCCCCTGGAAACTGCTTTAACATGCTCGGACACCAGAGGCTCTCTGGGGCCTCCAACCGATCATTCAGGGCCTTCTAATACCTGCCTCCAGCCCCTGCAATACTCCCATCTTGTCTGTCAAGAACTCCAGTGTTACCATTGGGATATAGCTAGTCTAAGACCTCTAGGCCGTAAATAAAATAGTCAAACCTAGGTTCCCATGAGTTCGCAATCCCAACACCATCCTAGCCTCTATACCTTCCAACCCCACCCACTTTACTATATAAACATCTCCTCTGCTTTCTTTCATATACATCTACATCCCGATTCACAATCCTTTTTGCTTTCACCTGGAAAAGTCAACAATATACATGGACGGTTATGCCTCCAGTTTCCACTGAAGTCCCTGGTTATTTTTATCAGACTCTGAATGGCAACTTGAAGGATTTGGTTTTCCCTTGCAATTCCTCTCTAGTCTTGTCTGTGAATATGTGAATGGTCTTGTCTGCTCAGCTCAACAGCTCACTCACTGACGCTTAGTATCTACCCCCAAGCCCTTGCTCTTAGGGACACAAGGTATCTAGGGACAAATTACAAGTATGTCAGTCACAACCACACAGTTTAGAACATGACCTTGCACCTGAAGGTAAAGCCTTATCCACAGAATGCATTTATCCCATCGTTAATTTCATCTTTGCCCAAGACTAAAATGCAACTCCAATGGTTTCTGGGCCTGTTAGAGATTGAATTGTGTCCCCCACCCCCAAAAAAGTTATGTTGAAATCATCCCCAGTACCTCAGAATGTGACCTGGTTTGGAAATAAGATTGTTGCAGATGGATTGAGCATTGTCCCACATACCCCGCTCAAAGGCATATGTACAAATCAGGGTTTCTGTGCTCCTTTCACAACTTCCCTAATGGCCCCTTCATGGGACTCAGTTTCTGTCATCACTGAACCTTTTATTCAGTAAATGACACCATAACAACCCTAATGGCAGGAACCACCTCCTCACTGAACTCATCGGGTTTTCCAGATATCAAAATATATCCCACCCCAGTCAACCAATGCCACTGACAATTTCTCTTGCTCTCAGCAGCATTGCTCCTCTTGTGACTCATCTCATGGTTCCAGTCCTGTCCCTGTGTGTTCTCCTTGGTTTTCCACTTTTAATCAACATTTACTTTCTGACCACTCAAATAAATAAGATGATTATCTCTCTTCTGAGTCTTGAATTGTCCCCAATGGTGCATACTTTACGTGTGGAGATCTCACTGACTGGCATCTACCTACCAGCTGCTTGGCCCCTGTGGTCTTGCCAATCCTGTAAGCCCTAATCAGAGTGTCAATCCCCCTTATTCTACCAATACCTGAACTTCACTCTTTCTCCTCTCAAATCCCCAACTCCTCACAAATGTAGATCTGCTAAATCCTGTGGAGGCTGAAAATCACACAGACACAAGATCCAGGATGATTGTGATCTCCTTTTTCATTAGGACCCCCCAAGAAAGCCTTGTAACAAGAAGCCAGATGCTTGGGAGTAAACTCCAAGGATTCAATATGGCCTCCAACCATGTTTGGGAATGATTGTACCAGGGTTAGGGGCTGCTGGGGAGTAACTTGTTGGCTGTGGTTGAAAGTAACTGCTGCACGTCATTCCCAGGAACTCTTCAGGAATCGTCATCACCAATAAGGAAAGGACATCAAGAGGCCAACAAGGAAATCTGCAGACTTGCTACAGCTGTTCTGACTCCACCAACCAAGAATCTTTCTTCATCTCCTTGAAATTCTCTCAACTGGCTGCCCTCTGGCTTCAAATCTTGGTTTTACTCCTTTATTCAACTATTTGTATTTTTCTTCCCAGGAATACCCATCTTCAAATTCCTGGTGACCAGAACCCCAAATCAGCTCCAGAGCCAACATTTTATGCAGCAAATGGTTCATCTAGTCTTGCACAAACAGCAGGGATGAAAACACAATCCTGACATGGCCCCCAGATACTAACTACTAAGAAAATCTTGTTTGAGAGTGAGCTCTCCAGATCTCCATTTCATCAATCCTGATCATCTCCCCATTGTTCGAAAATTAAGGACAGTGGTGGTCTGTCTTAAACAAGAGGGGGAGTGAATAAAGGTTGCCTTTATTAAAGTCTAAACTCATTTTTCTCTTTTGGACTCACTCGATTATTTTTTTACTTATCAGGCCTTTCTGTGGCTCTTTATACATGAAAGGCAGTGCTCCAAGCACTTAATCCTCATAACAACTCTATGAGGTAGATAGTATTCTGACCCCCATTATACAAATGAGGAAATTGAGGCACAGAGAGGTTAAGCAAGTTTCCCAAGGTCACACAGCTGGAATGTGGCAGAGTTGGGGTTCCCTCCTGGAGGTCTTTGCTCTCAGTTACTACTATTGCCTCTCCAGCTCCGGACCAGAAGGTCCCCTGGTGCCCCAGGAATCATCAAAGAGGGAGGTTCCCACATAATTTTCTGGGCCCTGGCCTTTAGGGAGTCAGGTCTGTCTGAGAAATGGGTATGAATATTGGAGCTAGGTCTTGAAGGTTGTAGGGACACACACTTGGCGTAGTGACACAGGCTGGCCGCCTGAGGGGGCGCCAGCCCCGCTCGC